CCGTTCATTGCTCAGCCTGCATCACCTGAACAGGAGGGGGAAGGGAGGCATGAAGACAAAGGAACTGATCTTGAAACTGTTCTGCGCAACGAGCCACACAACACTCTTTAGTGCGAATCAGAGCACCCGCACTGTCTCTGGTTGTTTCGCTGACGTCTGGTTTCTTGGCACCAGTGGCGCAAACCAGCCCGAAGAGTTTTAGATATTTCTCTGCTGCTCCCGACTCCTCCAGTTCTTGAGCCCGATTCTTCAACTAGGCTTCCTCGTCAGCACGCAGGCTCCGCTTTCGTTTGCATCCGGCTAGTTACATTGTGCTCAGAGCCAGCCAAGAGGTTTCTTCTGGATTCCAACAGGTTCACCGACCTCTCGGATATCCAGTGAATGGTGCAGTGACGATCGATAGCACTACAAACTGCCGTTCCTGCGTCGTGCATGACACTCGAGACCCTATTCCACTGAAGCTCAGTGTCATTAGGACAACGGAGAGAAAAATCGATACGCAGCGCAGCTTACAGGCTTGCCTGACCGAGGGTTCGGATAATTTCTGTTGCCCCCCGGTAAAGTTCATGGAGAAACGACAGCGTAACAATGCATGATCAGAGTCAACGCTAGTACTCCAGAACGAGCGGCAATCCAGGATGGAACCACGCCACCTGTAACTTATAGTAATGTGATCTAATTGGGTCCATAGCTGGCCAGCTACAGGACGCCAAGTGGCAGTTCGGCGTCTACTGTGTCTGAAAGCAGTGCTATTAAGGAACAGCTGGTGCTCCGCTCACAGCTGTAACACACGCTAGCTGTTTTCCGTCCGTTCGGAGTTAAGCCCATAATTACCATGCAGCTGAGCCTCTGGAGAGCCCAAGTGACCTACTTGTGCATTCATATTACGTGCAAGTATTATGATATCTGAACTGGTAGCACTGCGTAGTTGCGTGTTCAGTTCGTGGTGGAACGTGTCCTTGACAGCATTAGAACTGCAGTCGGTGGGAACAAAAGCGGAAACCACAAAGAAAAAGCGTGTTGTGCTATTTCATTGACCAATCTTAGTTGAAGTCGTCAAAGGGTCTGCACACAAACGGCTGTTCCCCGGAACCCAATCAAGCAACGATGACAGCCTTGGAGCTGAGTATGATACCTACCCCAGCTTGAAAATAGGCTACTGCATCAGAGTCTCCGGATGCGTGCAACCGATTGCGAGAGGACAAGCCGGGTGCAGTTCATTCGACAGCCCCTTCAGTGTCATTGATCCTAGTTTCTGGCACGCAACACACGTCAATACCAAATGTACGCAACGTGTGTGCGAAGGCAGCCCGTTGACCTATTTGTCCTACAGTGCGAACGTTGAACGGCGCCAACGAAACGGGACAGTGTGGCCTTATAAGGGATTGTTGCCGATAAGCGTCCATTGGGTGGTGCGGGAAGGCAAATGAAAATCGTTCGAGTCCAGTGGCATTACGACTGCTGTCAATTATGCTGGGAACTATATAAGGTAGGTTAGTAATGTGGGTTGGGAGGGGAGAACAGAAACAGGTGAAAAATACAGAAGAGAAATGCTAGAAGTAGCAAGTTTTCGCTTATCCGCCTTGATGTATGCAGCCGATAAGGCGAACCTTGACAAACTGCGCGATGGCCGACGTAGGATGCAGTTAAAGTTTGAGGAAATTATCCAGGTTGTATGTGGCCTGAAATACTTACAAAGCGCTCAGAACTAAACAGGATGACGACTGAGGTCCTCAACCAAACCCTTTGGCTTAAAGCAGCGAAATGGTGGCAACGGTTTAGCTTTTCAGAAATGGACGCTATCCAATATAAAAACCCCAATCTGGAAGACCAGGAGACTGAGTTTGTCTGACATAACCATTGACCAACCTGGTAGGACTAGCTCGTCGGCCAGTGGCCGAGTGATAAGCGCGTCTGGTTTGCAACCATAAGGTCACCGATTCGAATCCGCGTAGGGGCGGGCGTCCTCGCGGTATACTCAGCCCACGCGCGACTGTTGGTGGTCGCTTGGCAGCGAAGCGCCGTTACGGCGTACAGCTGGCGATTTACTTTACTTTTTAGGAGTAGCTCTCAAGGGGCCCGAGGGTCAAAGAGGTAATCAAACCGTCGCACCACGTTAAGATCCAGTCTCGTTGCGACGGCCCCATCACTAACCTTCCCACCTTATTTGGTCACAACAATGTTTACAGGGAACTCGCAAAACTGAAGACAAGCAAAGTTAGTGGCCCTGATTTACCGTTCCCAGCTGCTCTGAAAAAGTGTGCGGATGTATTACAGTCATCGATGAGAGATTTGTAACCGATGTTTATCGACTGACACCATCGTCGACATCTGGGAAGCAGCTAGAATAACATCTGTGCAGAGATCGCACCCTTTTATAGCACAATATTTTAAAGACAGACTGTCAGTTACGTCCGAATTGTACATTGTTTCCCAGTTTACATTCACCTGTGATGTCAAGTGCCTCGGACATACAACCAGGCGTCTATCGGTACGGATGACTGAGCACTGTCAAGTTACTGCGGAGAGGCACAGTCAAAGTATCAACAGCTCGAGCTTGGAACATTTGCTTCAAAGTGGGCATCAGATCTTGACCAAAGATGCCTTCAAGGCCTATTATGCCGTACCGAGGAGATACCCGAAAGGGTTGAGCACGTCTCTTGCAAGCGGCTGAAGCCATCACGAACAGGCTAACACAACCAGAGCTATGCAAGCATAGGGTGCTTGTACAACTCTTGAATTTGCTATGACATTCACAAGAAGTCGTTCCCCCGGAGTATTAAGCATAACTGGGTGCCGTTTACTTATGTAATGACTTAGTTTCTAATTTGTTAGTAATTTTACCACTTCTACTTACAGAAATTGTTTCGCTGCGCACAGCTGTTAGTCCAGTCAGGATGTCATCTGATTAAATCGATTTGAGCATCGAACGAACATGCTACGTCTGTTCAAACCGTCCTATCCGTCCACGTGTTTGCCTTCATCAGCCTATTGTTGCATTTATCTGTCCTGTAATTGTAGTTGCCTGATGTGAATTACCGAAAAGCGATCTTTCTACAACCCATTGTTTTAATCACAGAAGTATCGGCCAATAGCGTGCACCTCCGTGCCGTTGAAGGTGCTTGGAAAACTACTAATTGCCCGAAAATTCACAAGCAATCTTGAGACTGATACGAAACAGTCTGCATACAAGTCGGAGCACACTACATTGGATGCTGTCTCGTATGTTGGGCATTCCATGGAACCTGCTTCGCATAAAAAATGCAAGACTGTGTGGCTCATGTTCCTTGATTTTACTGACACCTTTGGGTGCCTTGGCAGATCGTTACTACGAAAGCTTTTGTTCGAAAGTGACGTTCCCCTGTAGGCATGTCATGGAATACGTGATTACTTTACGAATCGCACACACAGCACGCAGTCTTGCAGCAGAAAATCTTACGTAATCCCTACAGACTGCGTTCTTTATTAGACGCCTCATCCTTTGGTTGTGAGCGACCAAGGCACCCCACGTTCATAGTCCGTGAAATGTCTCGGTGTTTTTGTCCTACAATTGCTCCTAATAGACAAATATTCTTGAAACCTTACAAAAATTCATAGGACTATCATTTTACTCCATTAGGCTCAAAATACTCCTAGTACCGCGTGCTCTAATTCTAAGGTTTGTAAATGCATATATTCTTCCCTACTCGCGGTACTGTTCCCCTGTTATTTTCACCGGAATTCTTCGAAGTATACTTTTCTTGTGCGACCACTAAAATTTGTTTTCCGATGCTCTGAATTAAGGAGAATGCCTCGTTGATTTTGTGGTTAACAAGCATTTTGATGCAAACTTACCTTCTCATCCAAGATTCCAAACGACCCGTCACATCCACTACACATTGTTTTAACGAGTACGGCATCCACTTATTTCACAAGGTAAAATATTTATGGTTTCATTTGCTCGTACAGCTTCGGATTGCAACTCCACCTTGTCTTATCTGTCTCGTTTGTTATTCAATCCAAAAGTGATAATAAATCAATTGCGAGAACGTTTGCTTGCTTGGAAAAGAGCCCCTTCGTTGTTGTTTTCACTTTGCACCACTTGCCTATGAGGTAGTAGGTTCGCAGTGCTCCCACATGGGTGTATCAAAGCTTATCTTAACTTGAAGCACGAGTGTCATTTTGACCGCAGAAAATAAAGTAAATGCACACGGGAGTGAACTTATCGACGAGTTGAACCGATCATGAGGTGATAATGGGAGTTCGCGGCAAAAAGGAACAGGCTCGAAGAACTGTGTAACATCCGCAGTGATTGTCAAGAAGGCTCGATTTCTCATATGCTATTCTCAGTTTACTCGTCAGGTGTAAAATACGCACTACGTGAATGCGTGAACAAAGTAACGCTCTGGCGATCGGATCTAATCTCACAAACAATGCCCTCAAATGGATTGACGCAGGGTAGTGCGTGTTTCGCACAAAAGCGCAGAATGCAGATAGCAGCTATTTCCAATACCAGAATACGAGGAGCAAAGATGACCACGAGAGCGGAAGCCCCATAGCAAGGGTGATATATTAGAATGTGCTAATCAGTGTTTCGCAGATTATTTGGTGGGCTAATACCCCCTGTGGTGGTGTAAGTCATTCTAATATAGCCACAATAAAAACACTTAGGTTATCGTTAGCCATAAAACATAAATAAAGCACAGTATCGGCTACACGCATTACTTTGGAGTTCTGCGGAAGTGAAATCCACTATCATCCTCTTTTCGAAATAATGGACTAAGCTACTAGCCACCCGCGATATCGGCAGTCCCGTCCCATGGTTATGAGTTACTCAAGTCTTTCAACTACTTCGTTATAATAAAAGCTCTCGGAATCAAAACAAATACACGCTCGCACATGAAAAGTGAACGATTCAATTGTGTGATGAAGAAGAGGTCACAGTGAGGCATCGACCAGTGCTGGAAATGATTTGCGAGATACAAAAAACAGAACCAATACTAAAATCAAGTCAAGCTTACTTTTCTTCCGCAGCCATCGTCTTAAGGCGTGTCACCTGAGCTTGTTTTTCTTCTTCAGCGTACACCTTGTGCGACTTGGACATTTCTTGTACGCATGCAGCTAGATCGCTCTGAAACCAAGGAAACACAACAAGAATGAAATGGCGACGTTTGAGGCCATCAGAAGTGCCGTGAAATCGACAAATGATCATCATACTAGAAAAGTTAATGATCGCAACGGGTCGAAACTGGACCACCCTGGATATTTCGGTAGGAAGCGAGATGATAGTCAGTTCCACAAAAAACAATTCAAAAGACAAAGTCGCATTACATCACACATGAACTTGAAGGCATCTGCAGTGCTAGAGTCCCGATGTAGGGCTTGCCATCAGCATGAAGTGGGTCCCAGTCCCCGTAGCTGCATGGATTGGAGCGCCCAGCAGTAACTCAGTAGGAATAGAGCCAATAACGCAAAACAACGAAGCGTCAGCACATGGCACCAGCGCATTGTCAGATAGATCAACAGGTGGCCTTAATGGAGAAGAAAAGTGACTTCTGTAAGCGCTTTATCCGTGTGTAAAAGCCCAAGTTGGTACACGGTCGTCATCATCATCATCAACAGCAGTACATCAGCCACTTGGACTGAAGCTTCACTGTCATACAACCACTAGGGAACGAAGAATGGTAAGATGGAGAGAAGGGAGGCTTACGGGAAAACCTTAATGCCAAAAACAAGAACACCCGGAGTTAAGGCGCCTAGACATTGCCGACAATATACATGCACAAACACCCGGCTATTGTACAAAGATAAGGCAGCATCGGCGAGACAGCTTCCTTGCGACTTTCACCGCACCGCGTCATAATCTGCCATTACTTTGCAGATAACTCAGCATCAAACAAACAGTAAACCGGCAATCTGACTAGGAGATGAGAGCGACCACGCCAATGATGTCGACCGCGAGCCATATCCTGTAAATTCCCCAGCCAAAAACAAGGCTGGTCATGTAAACTCCAGCCTGGAAGGCTAGACAGACAACAGGCACCGAGTTTGATCGTCAGTGACTCCATTGCACGCTGCCAAGTCAACTTTTGACCACCTCGATTCTTGCGCCACTCTACATCTGGCAAACAAAACAAGACCCTCCTTTAAGGTAAGCGGTGACCAGGCATACGTAATATGAGCGGAAGCCAACGCAACTTATACAGGACTACCATTAGTTCCAAGGAAATAGCCTGGTTAGCACTGCCTTGTACTCGCTAACGCAAATCATCGTTGCGAACACGCTGGTGTCACCTGAAACCAGCAATGCTTCGAGGACAACGGGGATCAAAGAGCTGAAGGCGACTCAGATCTTCAGGCCGAAGGGGCCAAGTCTAACTCCTATAAAGTGAGACGGACCTCACTGTAGCCTTGTATAAACGGCCTTTTACAAGGGGGAAAACTCCTTTCTGACGTCACAGATTCAAGAAAGCAATTCGGACTTTCGCAAAGCGTGAATCGATTGCAGTTGATATGCGTTCAAGGTTCCTGATGCAGCTCCCAAGATAGGTGAAGTGATCGAATACCCCGTGATCCTTGGAATCAAGTAGCAAGGCAACATCGAGTGGCTGGTGGTTCTGCAGCAACACTTCGCGCTTTGAAGGTACCAAGCGCAAACAAATGATGGAACCATTCTACACAAGTTATACAGGGTTGACGGCGCCGACTCAACATCGTTCAACAGCAAGACGATATCGTCCGCTAGCCCTTCACTAGGCAGCACCTCAACGCCTGCATTGTGACACAACGCAAGCGAACACTCTATGAAGGGATCTATCCGGGAATCAGATAAAAACAGAAAAGAAAAAAGGGAAAGTATATAATGGTGATTGAAAGCTGGGCTGAAGGAAATCGCCTACCCCCGTGCGGTCGATCAGGCAATCGATCGAGCGGACGAATGCGTTTTCAAACACCCGGCTAATTGGACTTTTGCCTCAGACTTGAGAGGGCAGTTTTTCGGCGGCATTATCTGCCTACGTTGGCAGGGTTTTTGTTAACACGTTTTTCGTGGTCAAGACTGTTAGAATTTTGATTTTTCTTCGGCTGGGCTAGAATTGCTGCGGAGAAATTTCTGGGTGGTTAATTCGGAATAGCGAAAAGGGGAAGATCTAACAATGGCGACGGACAAGCACGGAAATGTTACAAATTTTCTGCCGAACATTTTAAAAGCTGCTTCTTCAGCATTAATCTCAGATGGAAGCACTATTGAAACTGATTGAAAGTTTAACGCAGTGCTTAAACGTACAATCAAACGGAGCAGCTACACGGGACACGCAGGCTGTTTCACTTGATCGTCTTACGAATTCAATCACTGAATTTCATTATGATGCTGATTCCGAATGCACTTTCGAGGCGTGGTTCAAACGTTGGGAGGATATGTTCCAGACGGATTCTAGCCGTCAAGATGATTCATGGAAAGTGCGTCTTTTGCTCCGCAAGCTCGGTACTAATGAACATACAAGATTCCTTGACCACATATTGCCCAAAGAGCCGAAGGACATCACTTTCAACGAAGCAGTGGCAACACTCAAAGAAATTTTTGGTGAGTCGACATCTTTGTTTAGCATTCGCTATCAATGTCTAAAAATTGTTAAGCGTGATGCAGACGATTATGTGGCACTAGCAGACATGGTTAACCGCGAATGTGAACGTTTCAAGTTACGCTGTTTGACGGATGACCAGTTTAAGTGTCTTATATTTGTCAGTGCTTTACAGTCTCCACGCGACGCGGAAATCCGCACTCGGCTCCTTGCTAATTTGGATCAAGACCCAGATTTGACATTGAAGTCTCTTGTAGGCGAATGCAAACGGTTAATTACCTTGAAACACGACACGGCTATGATTGAGCAGAGTCGCCCCACCATTGCCGATACTGTTCATGCTGTGCAAAAAGCAAGAAAGCCTGGCTCGTATAAGTCGTTCAACAGAAAGCCGAACAAGCCGTCTACACCTTGTTGGTCATGTGGTGAATGGCATTTCGCACGATACTGTCCACTCAAGCGTCATATTTGTGATAAGTGCCATAAACGCGGCCACAAGGAAAACTTTTGCCATCAGTCCCGGCCAAGGAATGTGAGGCAGTCTTACCGAAGGAAGAATTTCAGAAAACCCAACGCAGAATCACTATCGGTGATTGCTACGTTTCACAGCGATTCTAAAACACGTTGCCGATTTATCACTGCGCTTATCAACGGAATCCCAACCCGGCTGCAGTTCGATACGGCATCAGATATAACGGTCATTTCCAAGAACACTTGGAAGCACATGAAGAAGCCGAAGATGATTGATTCCAACAAAGTCGCTCATAATGCATCAGGTGGAGTGCTGAAGTTGGTCGGAGAAATAAATTGCAAAGTTGCATTCAACGGAGTGGAAAAGGCCGGAACATGCTACTTGTCTGATCGACCAAACTTGAACCTCCTTGGACTTGAATGGATGAAAAAATTACAACTGTTTGATGTTCCAATGAGTTAGATTTGCAATAGAGTACAAACCGAACCAGTACATTCATCATTATCGATAGAAGAGATGACCAGAAAGCTAAAGCAGCAGTTTGTCACCTTGTTTGAAGATGGTCTCGGCCACTGCACTAAGTTCAAAGCAAAGTTGTGTCTTCGTGAAGGAACCAAGTCAGTCTTTAGAGAAAAAAAGACCAGTACCGTATGCAGCCATGACAGCAGTTGATCAGGAGCGCGACCGACTGGAACGAGCCGGTGTCGTCACACCAGTGAACTACTCTTCATGGGCTGCGCCGATTGTCGTTGTGAGAAAGCCGAACGGTAAAGTGCGAGTCTGTGCCGATTTTTCGACTGGCCTGAATGCTGCATTGGACGACCATCAATACCCCCTTCCGAAACCAGAAGATATCTTTGCCAAGCTAAATGGTGGGAAGTGTTTCGCCAAGCTCGACTTGTCCGATGCCTACCTCCAGGTTGAGGTTGATGAAAGCTCAAGAGAATTGATGACCATCAACACTCATCGTGGCTTGTACCAGTATAACCGCCTCACTTTTGGCGTGAAAACAGCACCAGCCATCTTCCAGCAGCTGATGGACACCATGCTCGCGGGAGTTTCTGGAGCCGCAGCGTACCTGGATGATATCATTTTAATGGGTCGGACGGCAGAAGAACTATTTCAGCGGCTCGCTGAAGTGCTTGAAAGTATCCAGTCATATGGTTTCCGTATCCGCGAAGACAAGTGTACCTTTTTAACACCAACCATCAAGTTTCTCGGTTTCATCTTCTCAAAAGACGGTCGTCGCCCGGATCCAAAAAATATCCGAGCTATTCAAAAGATGCCCCCACCTGTAGACTTGCAGTCGCTGCGTTCATTCTGTGGTTTAATCAGTCATTACAGCGCTTTTCTGCCCGAACAACATCGCCTGCGTGCCCCGTTGAATAAGTTGCTGAGCAAGGGCCAAACCTGGAATTGGACGCCAGAATGCCAGACTGTGTTTGAGCGGGTCAAGTCATTGTTGGCTTCAGACTTACTCCTAACTCATTTTGACCATTCCCGGGAAATTGTCATTGCCACAGACGCATCGAGTCTAGGGATCGGTGCCGTAGTTTCCCATACGTTCCCAGATGGATCTCAGAAGGCGATCGCACATGCCGCCAGGACGCTAACGAAAGCTGAAAGAAACTACAGTCAGATCGAGAAGGAGGCATTGGCCATAGTGTTTGCTGTGAAGAAATTTCACAAGATGCTGTATGGTCGCCGCTTCAAACTCTTGACGGATCACAAGCCGCTGCTGGCCATTTTCGGCTCGAAGAAGGGAATTCCTGCCTATACAGCCAATCGACTCCAACGATAGGCACTCACCTTGCTGGGCTATGATTTTGAAATCCGTTATCAGTCAACGAGTTCGCTGGGCCAAGCAGATGCGTTGTCACGCCTCATTGATTACCAGCAACAAGAACACGAGGATACCATCATTGCCTCAGTTGAGATCGAACCTGATGTCAAATTCCTGGTGAACGAGGCACTACATGGTATGCCAGTTACGGCCGATGCTGTGCGGGCCGAAACGCTTCGAGACCCAATCCTGAAGAAGGTGACACACTTCCACAGAACCAGCTGGCCACGTTCGTG